CACCCACCCACCCACACCCACACACACACACACACACACACACATACGGACACACGGGCACACAGAGTGCGACCTGACTGGTGCTTGTTTCCGGACCGTGCAGCACTGCTTTTTTCTGGGTACGGAATGGAACTGTAATGCTTTCTGTTCTTGCTCAAAGGTTTCTGTTGCTGTGTTCGTCTTGTTCCTGCGGCAAGCACGGGGCTCCTGCTTTGTTTGCTTTCACAGTGTTTCCTGTCTCCCGGCAAGCGAGCTGCGAGTCCTGCTAGGCCATCTTGGCCAACCCACCCTTTGTGCCAAACCCGGAACATACGGCAGCAGCGGCAGGCCCGATGCCGTTAAAGGGCCCGGCCATTTCAGATGCGCAGCTAGATCCTCGGTAGAGTCGAGAACTGAGGTTTCATGTTGGTCATGTCGAGCAGAGGCATGCGATGTTTGTGAACACATGTCTGACATCCCTGGGCAGCTCCACTCTACTCGGGAGCTGGGTGCGATGGCGAGGCCAGAATGCTTTGGCTTTTTAGCACTGTCTCTCACAGCAGCTGGATCCTGAGGCCGTCCACCGAGCGATTTTTGCCAAAGCTTTGCATCTTCTCAGCAATGGAGGCAGGGGACAAGCTGCTGACAAAACCACAGCAGTCCCTGCAGATTTGCTTGTGAGACAGGCTATTTGAGCACTGTCGCAGAGGTGCCCAATCCAGAGAGCCATGGTTGTGCATGCACGCGCATCTTGTGAGGCTTGTTCCAAGGTTTTGTCTGGGCCAGCATTACGAGTCTGCCGAGCAATGACGTCCAAGGAGCTTGGCCACGCGGGTGAAGGACTGGATCGAGGAGGGGCAGGCAAGAATGATGTCCAATGATATCGATGCTCATGCCAAGCAACTGCAAAAGCTGCATGCTGCCTCCCGCCCTTCCCTTTCTCCATGTAAAGGCTGAAGATGCTGTACGGCCAGACATGACTGCCACCTGGCATGCTAAATACGAAGCTGCCGGCGACAAAATTAGTTCAAGAATACTGACCATACTGACCGAAGCCAGCATGTTTTTTTTGGATATCAAGGATGCCAAGCATATCATAAACTGTGCATGCCGCCATGGCTCTGAAGGTGAAGGTGTTTACCGGCAAGCGAGTTCCTGCAGAGGAGTACTGGAGAAGTGCCACGCAGGAGTGCCTTTTGAACCCTGAGCCTGAGCACCCTGTTCTAGGTCTCAATGCTGGTGTAGAAAGTCAATTATTGGAGAGTGTTTCATGTTGAGCTGGTAGAAAGTGGAAGTGCAGCATGTTTGTGGCTGAGCTGGAACAATGCAGGAGCGCTCGGAGCTCGAGCGGCGGAGCTACGCCGAGGGCCTGCGGGCCGTGGGGGTTCACTGCATGGCAGAGGCTGGCTGTGGGTACTTATGGTCTGGTGGATCGAATGTGTCAGCAATAAACAATAGAATTCTCGGGTGCATGGCTGTCCTGCCCTGTCTCTCATGTCTGCTCTCTGCCTGTCTGCCTGGTTTGGGTCTGACTGCTGTCTGTGTCCATGTCGGTCTTTTCGTGATTTTTCGTGCATGCCCATCGTACATGCAAGTTAATGGCGTGCAGCATTGCCGCGAAATCAACATGTCCACAAACATTGACACCTTGGTCTAGCAATACCGGCACACGACGGCGTTGTGCACCGGCTCCAAGAAATGTAGTGTAGCACACGTGTGTGCGCAGTAACACACGCTAACGGCGACCGCCGCTAGCACTCCGGCTCGACGATTGAAAGCTTTTGCTAGGATCCTCTTGTCGCCAAGTCCTCGACGACCATCCCCACCAACGCGATGCCGGCGCGAAGATCACCCTCTCAGGTGCCGGCGCAGATGCAGTCGCCTGTGGATGGACTCCAAGAGAAGGTGACGTCGCCTCGGCGAGATCCGGCGAGCGCTCGACACCGACACCCTGGCACCAGACGAGGCGGCGAAGCTGGCCGGCCGGAAATCCTTCCTGACCCAGGCAGTGGCGACCAAACCCGTCTACTCAAGAGCGGCCTGACGTCATCTGCCGCGGATTCAGCCAAGGTTCATACCCTATGACCTCGGCCATGCCGAAAATTCTCTCTGCCGATGCCTTCTTCACGGACGAGCTAACGCGCAAGACATGTACCAGACGGCGGCGGCCGCACAGGAGAGCCTCCAAAGGAAGGGGGTATGTGCTCAGGCTCGGCGGAAGGGTGTACCACGACCACGGCGTGGTACCGGCATGGTTCGTGAAACTGTTTCGGCGAGGAAGGCCAACATCTACATGCTGGAGGTCTTCGCCCAGCTCGTCGCCTTCGTCACACCTTTGGAGCTCGGCTGCTTCAGTCGATCGTCGTATTCATCGACAACACGGCGTGACAGACAGCACTCACCAAAAGATATGGCACAGATCCGGCAGTGAACGCTATGATCTCGGCGTTCTGGTCCGTCGAGGCACACTAAGACGGGCTCGTCGAAATCGAGAGGGTCCCCTCCAAGGCCAACGTCGCAGCTGATCGCTTAGGCGACTGCCATGATCACTGGCGAACCCTGACTGCAGGGGTGACTCGCTCACATTCGACCGCTAGACAGCTGACTCAGTTGATGCGCTTCAATGAAAAACTAAGGACGCCGTCTTCCGACCGAGCACGACCAAGGTATGAGACTGGGTACACGGCCCCATCGGCGGAAGAGGCCCGCAACATGTTTGCCCGGGCGGTCAGCGACCTGGAGTATGCCACCAAAGGTGCAGAATCGGCCAGTCGTTCCACCTGTTTCCTGCCGAGCGGCGTGATACAGAGCTTCATCCAAACGACGAAAAAGAGATCCGTCGGAAGAGTGCAAAATTAGAAGAGTTTTGGATTTTTGAAAGATTTGGCATCGGAAGAGGACAGCTTTGGATCAATGTCAGGCACAGTGCTACGTGTGTTGGGTAATGTCGAGCAGCTTCTGGGCAACCATCGCTAATGCAGTTACGCAGTATTAGAATTATTAGAATCAGTACAGTACACCGTGTGTGCCGTGACGGGAGCGATATATTATGCTTATTTTGTGCTGTTCCAACGAGTGCAGACATTTTCCGGACATATCTTTGTCACATAATTGGCAGCACATGAAGGCAACAGCTTGTCCGTGGCCCGGTCGTCGCTAGCGGTTAGCGGCTAGCATGTGCTGACAGGCACTTGTGCTTGCGCGACATGACGGGAGAAGTGCTACTCGTCCATAGATGCATCATCCTTGAAGGACGTTTTGGCTTTTCTTTAACCTACAGATAGATCTGAGGAACTCAGCCATGACGCCGGGAGTGTGGTGATTGCTGACAACGTGCAACGCGACCAGCTCTGGGTCGATGACGAGTATCTGCGCACTCGTGTGGCACTCTGCTTGTTGCCCAGTTGATGTAAACCAGGGAAAACGACGACGAAAGGAGTGGCTGGAAAGGCATCCGCCATATTCCAGCGAGCTTTGCAGCGGTATCGTTCCGGAACACAGCGACGGAAGCCGGGACCGACGAGATGAGATGGCAGAGATCCCTGGACAACAGCGGATTGCCAGGCTTCGAGCATGGCTGCTGTTTTGGTGTGTGCCACTGACTATCTGGCACCCGCTGGTGGATGCGGCGAGTGTTGCACGCTTCCGCAGCTGTGAATGTTTGCCAGATGCAAGATCACGCTTAGCTGATCTTGATGCCACAATCGGGCCTTTCTCATGCATGCTCATCAGGTCGTGGGCCTTCGCAAAGATGGAGCAGAAGATTGATGAACTCATGGTCTGCTCCCCAGAATTACCCCTTATAATTTTTCTATAAAGCTGGGATGTGCCCTGAACATCTTTGCAGCTTGCGCACGTCTGAGGCTGTTGTGGCCCAGGAAGCTCGTAGCCCAAGCATTGTGAAGCTGCTTTTTTTAGGGTCGTAGGGGCGCAGGGAAGAGGCAGGGTGGTGGTGGGCTTGCCTGCCTGACATGCCTGACGAAAACTTGGACATGTTTTCGGTTCAAAGGCTGGGCCACTGGAGTTTCATTGACAGGCAATTTTCTGGCCGCTGCCTTGTGCTGAAGATGTTCGTTACCAGGGTATTGCAGCCAAGCTTCCAAGTTCTCATTTACAAGCACCACTCACCGCCCCGCACAACCTGGACCCCAAGCCTTTGCAGCCAAGCTGGTCAGCAGCCTGATGCTCTGTGCTTCCTCACGCGGCGCTGAGCTGCAAACTGCTGATGGCCACAAACAGGATGTCTGCATGAGCTAGAGCTGTAATTTTGTTGGAGGATGTAGGGGTTTTCAAAACTTCCAGGCAGTGTTCAAAGCTTGCATACGGTACTTCGAGAATGGTCGGAAATACGGCGAGCGCACATTCTGGAGGCAGTCGCGTTGGAGCAACCTGGAAGAGCTGCACCAGGAGGGGCACGGCATCAGTGTGAATGCATGGGTGTCGGGTTGAGCGGTTTGGCGAGTTTAGGGGAGAGCGGGATTGCTTTCTTTGCGCCGCAGGAGGATTCCAACGAGGCAACGGAGAATTTGCTGCAGACAAGATATCAACCGTTCTCGTTACTTTCCTACCGTGTCGCCGTGTGCAAGGTGGAAGCCGGACCTCTGAGCTCATTGCCGGTGCCGGGCTTTTGGACTTTGCATCTAGAAGGGAGGTTTAATCAGACTCCGGAAAAGAACAGTTGATTCATGTTGAAGCTGCCGGAGCTTGCCATCAGCCTGGACTGCATCGAACACTCCGCTCTTCCCATGAGCCTTTGCAGGCATGCTGGCATGCTGCAGGTACTCACAGCGAAGCTGTTGGTCGAAGTACTCGTAGATTCTTCTGATGCCACCACCTTTCAGACCAACATCGATGCCAGGACCTCGGAGGACATGCCCGCCATACAAGGTTCTGCTGTCAGATCGAACTGGGCGTACCACTTCCTGCAGCCATTTGGCAAGAAGCGCCGGACAGCCTGTCTCCCAAAGGGAGACGGGCTCAGATAGTTGGCAGGTGAGAGTCTTTTGCTCATGCCGAAACCGACGGTGTGGGCTGAGGACATAGATCAGATCCTGCGTGTTATATCCGAAGAGCAAGCCCAATTGCTGCAGCTCGCGGAGGAACAACATGCATCGTTCTCCATGTCGGTGCAGTTGGCTTTCGCTAGGATGGAACGGTCGGATCTCCTCAGTCGTGGAGGATTTGGAAAGCGAGGGCGTGCGCTGTGCGCCACAAGTCCTTGTGACTTGTGTATCGCGGAGGGGAATGATGACGACACGCAGGAAGTGTTCCAAGATGTCCCTGACCAGACAGACATGCTGTCGTGTGACGATTTGGCTGCACATCAGCACAGCTCTAGTCTTCGAAAGATAGATTCCACGTTCAGCGTCCCATCTCCGTCTAGGGCAAAGTCCAAGAAATCTGCGAACTCGAAGCCAACGGCAGAAGATTTACTTGGCCTGGACAACTTCATCGATCGAAGCAAGGCCTGGACAGATCTGCTGGCAGGCATGCTGGTGCTGATCAACTCCTTCGTGATGCTTGCAGCTCGGCTGCACAGAGTTGCAGATCCAAACTTCTGCGAAAGCGAATGATAATGACGACAGACAGGTCGCGTTGCGTTATGTATCGTTATGTCGCTAGCCAGCGCCGATCTCGCCAGGTCGAACTGGAGGTTGAAGGACGAGCTGTCGGAGCTTTGATAGGTGTGGCCGGGGCGGATGTGTGCGCATACGTGAGAAGCTCACTTGCACCTGCCTGCAGGCATGGGGGAGGGTCCGACGCTCAACGACGTGTCTCCGCTCTTTCGGACTTTGGCGACTTGCCTGGCGAAAAAGGTCACTGAAGAGTGACGGGGATCCCCAAACAAAACTCAGCTGGGACTGCCTCAGAAACTCACGGTCGGGAAGGGATTCCCCCTTCAAGAGTTATCCAAAGCGGGGCTCAGTTGCGCTTAGTGCTACACACAAACCTGCATTGTTGACTCAAGGACGCGATTTTTGTCTTCGTGTTTCTGGCAGAGCTTTTGCTCCGAATCTTTATGGAAAAGCTTCAGTTTGTCCGTGATGTGGCGAACTGGTTCGACACATTACTTGTGATCGCGGGCCTAGTGGACATGTTCGTCATTCTACCGATGAGTGCCGCTTGGCAAATGGGAGCTGGACACATGAGGACACACTGTAAGCCCAAGTTTATGATACGGCTCGTGCTTGCTTTTCCAGACCTTGGGAATCTCCTGTCTTGCCGAGGATGGAGCAGAAGGTCAGAACATTGTCATGCTGCGCATGGTCAGGGTGTTGAAGTGTGTTCGCGCTATCCGCTTGGTCCGAACCTTCCGATTCTTTCGCGGCTTGCGGCTTCTCGTCAAGGCCTGCTACTGCTTCCTGCCCTCCCTGGGCTGGAGTATGGTGTTGTTGTTGGTATTTATGTGGATGGGAACCTTGGTTTTGGGCAACTTGCTGCAAGACTTCATCACCGACCCTTTGAACAACTTCGATGACAGGGTGTGGATCTGGAATCGGTACGGGACGGCTTACCGCGCCATGTACACCCTGTACGAGATCCTAGACTTTGCCATTGGGAATTGAGTGTTAGAGTAGCTCATGTGCTTTTTTATTCTGCATGCTGTTTGCATCGCTGGCATGAGTTGAATGTCGTATAGAAATTTTGGCCAAGCTGCTTGGCAGAGGGAACCTGTCTTCCTTGCGCTGTGACATGTGACATTCTTTCGCCTGCTGAGATACCGGATTCCGAGTGACTCTTCAGGGCTTTCGAGAGATGTGCCACTGCCTCCTTCAGCAGTCGTGCAACATTGCCTCGCCACGAAGCCCAACTGGGAGATGTCGCTCCCTACCTCTGGCTTTCCCTATACTTTCGGCAATAATCACACGGCTCAAGACTGGGTTTGGCTTGGAGTGTATGAATCCAACGACTTGGCTTACCTTCTATAAAGGTTTGCCACACTTTCTCTGCAACCTGAACACGGCACCATTCATCTCCGGAGCTCTTCGGGGGCAGTCCCCCAGGCGGATTCAACAACCCCCGGTCACTTTCACTACTTCCGAAGCAGAGAGCATGTCAGTAAGGATGCGGCCAAAGTGCCAATAGAAGCACAGTCACAACGCAGGACAGCAGGGAAGCGGGTCAGACATCAGTAGGCGCTTGCGCGCCCGAGCACGGATGGTGCCCATTTGCTTCAGGGTCCTGAGACGTGGGTTAGTACACGGGTTGCCATCAGATCAGCAGTCTTACGTCGTTTGGCAATCAGAGCATCGCTAATCTGAAGACGAGTGTTGCGAGCAATACCGGCATCGACTGATCTAAGGATCACTTTTGCAGGAAATTGGCCCACCAGCGCAAGACCTGTGCTCGAGAAGGTTAACCAAGCCTATGTCATCTTCTTCCTCATCTATATCACGATAATAGTTTTTGCTGCCATTAGAGTGATATCAGCAGTGTTCTTGAAAGACACTCTGGAGGCAGCTCGGAATGATGACGAGACATTGGTCATCGAGCGCCTGCGAAACAAGCAGAAGTATGTACAAAAATTACAAGAGGTATTTCATGCAATCGGAGGATCAGTGGACGGATTGATTACAGAGGAGCGGTTGGCATCTATCCTGGAAAGTCCGAAGGCACTTGCCTATTTTCAAACGCTGGATCTGGACGTCACTGAGACTTCGGCACTCTTCAGTTGTCGCCTCATTTGCGTAACGGCTTATTAGTTGAAGATTCCTGTGTTACGGATCACAGGTGTCAACGTCCGTGTTGGCTGTGTCCTCCGAGGTCTTTTGGATAACGGTGATGGCGAAACTTGGCCTGAAGAGGGAGTGGGATTGACTCGGATTGACGGCATGAAGTTTGTAAAGCAGCCGCAGCTTCAGACATCCCATCATTCAAGCTTCTCGAACTGGCACGGCTTTTGGTGTCCTTTAGCCCATGAGATGGCTGGTGTGCTTGGTGGTGCCCAAGGAGATAACGCAGGAAGAGTTCATTGATGGCGTCCTGATCCTTGGCCGTTGTTTGAGCATGGCGACGTCCCGCTGACAAGCCCAGCTTGATCATCTGCGTGAGAGGGTGACTTTCCTGTGAGATGGCCCTCATGTGCCAAGGCGATGCAAAGGGCCAGCCTGAAACTTACCAAGCTTCCGGACGAACGTGGGTAAATGCTCCATTTGTGTTACAGAAGGTCGGTATGCTTTCAGGTGCTTCGACTGGCTGCACTTGCAGGTTTCGTCTCACTGATGTAGGCAAGGGAAAGTGCTGCTTGGCAGATGGACTATCCTCCCGAGGCCCGGGCTATCGACCAAGTTGCACTCCGCGCAGACCTGAAGCAGATGGATGCGAAGATCTCTCAGACGCTTGTTTTGGGGATGTACAATGTGCAAACAGTTTTATGGTGTCTTTCGTATGCGTCAGCCTTTTATCCTGCTTTCTGAGTTTCAGTTGTGCTCATCACATGGCGCGCTCCTTCGGACGATTATGCGCGCACACCCAACTCGCAACAGCTACCTCAACTTGGAAAAACAGAAATTCCAGATGAATGCGCGATGCCTGTGAAGCCCTTGTAGTGGTTTCGGCAATCGATCTGCTTCCACACGTTTTGAAAACACAAGCATGCACAAGCTGTTGGTGGGCGAGCACCAATATTGCAAGCCGACTTTATGCTGGAGACTGCAAGCTGCGAGCAGAGACACAGGCCACAGATCAAAACGCAGCAGCACTGCCACATGCGTGTGAAACGCCCCAGACTGTGAGCGTATAGAGATGTCTCATGCATGAAATGAACGAGAGTAGACACGTCAAGTATTTCGGATGCTGATTTGGGGCTGTGAGGATCACTCGTGCCCTGAAGCTGCCGAACCCTCGCTCCGAGCTTGAGGGGGCGTGAGGCGTGAGGCTGGAGATCAGGCCGGAGCCATGGCTTTCGCGAAGTGGGAAGAACCCACTTCTTGTACACTCTCGTCGACTTTGTTTCACCCAAGTTGGACTGAGCCATCGTGAAAAAAGCATCATTGGTGCCCCTGTGGTTTGCGGACTGGAACACTTGCCGGATTGAACAGGCGTCGCTGTCCAGCGTGCTTTTCTGTGTGCATGAGATCTTTTCAGCCGGAATGTGCCTACATAGTTCCCAAGGATGTACAGCTCGACCTGTGCTACAGCATCAGTCCCAAAGAAGTGGCTGAAGCTCTGCACAATTTGTAACTCGGCTGCGCGACATCCCAAGCCCAACTCCAACTTCGACCGACTAAAAGGAAGGGTTTTCGTTCAACATCGTTCAACTCTTGGTGCAGTTGAACTCACAAATGGCAAAATTCTCACGCGAGAAGCTGGGAATTTTGAAACATCGCTGCTCATGGCACACCTGTCTTCCAACCCTAGCCTTCCGTTCCGTGTCTGTGTTCGTTCAGTGCAGCTAAGGACCATTGCCTCACAAGCCAGGAGAATTTGCGCCCCTCTGCAAAAGTGGAGCTGTGCCCTTCACTGAACACGCCACAGAAGTTCGCCTCTCAAGCAGCTGACGCAAAGCGCGGCAACGACGACTCTGGTCATCTCCTCCCACTCAAAAGGTTGAACTGATAGGCACTTGTCTCTTGTCTCTCGGCTAGGCACCGCTGCTCCATGGCGGGTCGGATCAGGCGTTTCATTCGATGCCAAGCCGAGGACTGTTTTCCATCAGACTCGCCTGGACTGACCCTTTTCGAGATCTGTGCGCGTGCAGGCGACTTCTGCACTGGTGTTGTTTCCGAGCTGCGTTCGCGCGTTCTTGAGGGTTTGGGATATGGGTGGGTAGCTTCTTGGATTCGGTTTGTCAATGACAAGGCACGGGTTAGTGGAATCTGAGCTCGCTTTACTGGTGTGGTGGTAGCCTCTAGCGGCTCCAGCGGTTGTCCCGAGCTTGATGAGAGTCTGGCTTGGTCCAGGCCGCTCTGAAAAGATGCGCGCTTTGGCTGCTGCAGCGACGGCGTTCTGAGGGAGGGGTGGGAAGGCTGACAGGAAGAAGCTGCAAGATATTTTCGTGCAGAATACCCATACCTGTTGAATTCGAAGTTGTTTTTGGAAAGGTCAATTCCTATGGCTTTGTACTTGAGTATCCTGATTCCGATCAGAACCGTGCTGTGTGAGCGCTTTGCTCAGGAAGCAAGCGCGTCTGCAAGCAACCACGTCCTCACCAAGTAAAAATTGTGCTTCTCGACCGTAGTGTGCAGCCATGGAGGCACGCCTGCGGAACTTGATTCTTGCTGGAAATGCCGCGCTGCCCGAGGTCAGGCATGTTTCTTCTCATAGTCTCGTCGTCCTGCCTGGAAATCTGCGGTGTTGAACTGACAGAGTCAGCGCACTGAAAGCTGGCGCTTTACCTGGGGAAAGGTGCTGAGACTTCTGCGTGCTGGAGCAGAGCCAACACGACAGAATTTGAGCTGCTTCGTGAACGAACAGGCCCACGGCTCCATCCCAGCCATGCTCGGAAAAGAAATTCCGTTCCGAACAGTCAAGCTTTGGCGTACAACACCTGTGCGTCTGCGCATGTAATATACCTTCCCCCGCTCCCCCTCCCCCATCCTCGCTCCCCCTCCTCGCTCCCCCTCCCCCTCCCCCTCCTCCCCCTCCTTTCCCTCCCTCCCTCCCTCCATCCATCCCTCCATCCCTTCCTCCCTCATAGGAGCGCAGAAATGTGTGAACCCCCTCAAGATGACATGTATGCATGTATGTATATATGTATGCATGCATGTATGCATGTGCGTGCGTACGTACATACGTACGTACGTACGTACGTATGTATGTATGTGTGTGTGTGTGTATATGTGTATATATGTATGTAAGTATGTATGTATGTATGTATGTATGTAAATGTATGTATGTATGCAAGTATGTATGTATGTACGTAGGTAGGTAGGTATGTATGGTATGTATGGTATGTATGGTAGGTATGTATGTATGTATGTATGTATGTATGTATGTATGTACATGCGTAGTGACGATCAGAGGGCGGCTTTGTGCGAGAGGCAGGAAGTCGCTGCTTCAGTTGTTCTGTTCTCCCGTTACCTCGCCTGATGCGTCGAGTGCGAGTGCTAAAAAATGTACGCATGTATGCACGCATGCATGCATGCATGCATGGATGGATGTATGTATGTAGTTATGCATGGTATGTATGTATGATATGTATGTTTGATATGTATGTATGTATGCTATGTGTGTTATGCTATGTTAGGTTAGGTTATGTATGTATGTATGTACGTATGTATGTATGTATGGTATGTATGGTGTGTATGTATGTATGATATGACATGTATGACATGCGAGCAGCGCATTTGGCTCAAGGGCAACTGTGAGTCGCGCTTTTGCGCGTATGTACGTACGTATGTATGTATGTATGTATGTATGTATGTAACTACAAGTATAAATAGACATAATGAATGCGTGCGAAATACATGCACCCATGCATCTATTATGAAGACATGCGTATATGCGCATTCATGCATGCATGTGCACATGCGCACATGCGCAAATGCGTACATGCATACATACATAAAGCCACATACCCGCCCATCCATTCATTCGTTTAGTCATTCATTCATTAATTCATTCAGCCATCCATCCATGCATGCATGCATGCATCGCTCCCTCCCTCCCTCCCTCCCTCCCTCCCTCCCTCCCTCCCTCCCTCCCTCCGTACCTCCATCCCTCCATCCCTCCATCCATCCATCCACGCATGCATCTGCCCGATCCTACAATGCCACATACCATGCCACACGTACGAAATAAGACAGAAGACAAGACGAGATCAGAAGATAAGACAATGACAAGACACGACAGACACGACAGGCACGGCAGACACGACAGCACACTCACGTGATCTTCTCAACGCAGGGCGATGCCAAGCGAGCCCGGATTGCTGTAGCCTCAGTGACAAACAACGATGTTGGATGATGCTACAGTTCCGTTGAAGGCCATGCATGTTCTGCGACAGCTGCTGGCAGTGGATGGCACTTGCGCAGCCTGAGACAAGGAGGTTGGACCCAACGCCAGTCCCGGTGCGCGCCGCCTCTCCTGCTCGGGAACGCCCTTGCACTGGGTCTGTCGCTCAGTGTGTCGCTCCGAATGTTGCTCCGGTGGTGTAGGTGTAAGAAAAGAAGTTGCATCCAGCAGCTTGTCTGTCCCGAAGCAATCCTGAACTTCCTGAACCTGAGAGTAGGACGTACATCGAGTGGCGAAAGAGTGAGGGCTTCTGTGCCAACGCCACGCTCCCTGGAGACGAGGTATGTCACGCCGCCTCGCGCGTGCCTGACAACTGCAGGAGCCACTATGTCGAGATCACGAGGTGTGCGGACATAGCCACGGATTCTGGCATGGTCGTGACGGTCCCATAACCGTGTAATTAATGCTCCTGGTGTGGAGTTGTGCTTCAGGGCCTCAACCATTGCAATCTGCTACACTCCTTGCAGGTATCTTTGTGATGCAGTGCCTGTGTCCCTTTTCCTCATGGACGACAACAAGCGGACACCACTCGAGGTTCTGTTGAACAGATGTGAAGGCTGACAAGTGGTTGTGCTGATTGCTTGGGCTGGCAGATTTCAAGAGGGTTAGCATAGCAGGACCTGCTTCTAGGCCACATGTGCCCATGAGCTGTGAGAAGGGGATTCATGACTGAGAGTGATTGTTTTTGCTCAGAGCTTCTCCGTGTTCTCTCGTCCACATGAGCCATGTCCGCTCTGTCGCATGCTCAGGGGATGCTGGCCGGCTGGCTTGCTCAAACTGTGGCAAAATTGGCCACGTGTCCAAGGAGTGCACACAAGAGGAGCCTACATATCGCAGCTTGCCACAGTTACTGTAGATTCTCGGCTACAAACCTCGATGGATCCGTCTTGATCAGGTACAGATGCTCTGGCAGCCCTGGTTGCAGGCAGGGCGCATTCTCCGTGAGCCTTCGCTTGATCTTTGTTGCTTCGCGCCCGTAAAGGCTTTGGCAAAGCTCTCGTGCAGTACCCGCTTATGGCCGCCTCTGCGATGGCTGGCCCAGGACTGAACCTGTACCTTCTTCAGGCTCCTGACATTAATGGTGGAGGATGGTGTGGCATGTCGGAGGCTTTGTGTGCAAGATTGTCACAGTTGCGGTGCAGAGGGAATCCGCGAAGCCAGTTTGCGGCCGTCGAGCTGGGATGGGGTCCAGGCCCCAAGGAACCAAGGAATCGTTGGGGCGGTACTGTTACTAGGTCTGAGGCCTTCCTGGCCCCACTCGAACTCCGAGCCGAGTGACCGGCTCGTTCGCTCCTCGAGGTAGCCGCGAGCTGAGTGGCGTTCTAGTTGCGACTTGATCAAGTGATTCCTGCATATTTTAAAGGCAATCCGCATGTGACTGTCCTGAATGCTCCTTGCGACAACATATTCCCTGAATGTTGCAAGGCCAGAGTTCTCATTGGCACCCGCAGCATGACACAACCCCCTGGGGCAGAGCTCTCTGAATTTCTTGATTCTTTCCGAAAGTTTGACGAGAGATCTGGGCAAGCGACGACTATGACCCAGGTTTTTCTGAGTGTTTCGCAAGGATGTAGGTGGCAGTGTCCACGAGCTACACTGGAATCATAGGCCCCCGAAGGCTTTCTGCACGCGAATCGCTGGATGTGCAGTGCTGGGGAAGTTGCAGGATCCCGCACCGTGTCAACACATCCCCTGACCAGGACTGCAGGTTGCAGTTCGCGAGGCGCGGAACTTGCCCTGTCAAGCAGAGCCTCCAGCTTGGAGGATTGTCAGGGATTTGGTTAAGCTGGTGTGGAGAGTGGAGATTCAGAGGAGATACACCGGTTGTTCAGAAGTTCTGAAATTTGTGGGCTTCAATTCGGATAGCGGCGACCCCGTTCACAGCTAGTCTCTGATCCTATCAATGTCCGGTATTTCGGGAGGCCCGGGAACTTCTGCTTGCACACGCACCAGTGGATCCTCGGTTTCGACGGGTAGGACTCGATGACTTGCTCCCGGAAGCAGGTGAGAGCAGTTTGAGCTATTGGCCTTCCTATTGCCTGCACCGACGTTTGAGACTTTGGGGCACTTCTGGCTGCATTTTGCATTTAGCCGCTTGAGCGCTGAGGGGGAGGTTGGAGCAGTTTCGGCAGGTCGTTCAGCGCTCTCAGAGGCATCTGCGGCCGTGTCGGCTAAGATTGAGACGTGTTAAGGAGATTCTAAGCATAGAGTCGTCGCAAAAGTCTCGAGGAAACCATAGGCTGTGAGGCATGGTCGCAACATCATCTAAGCATCACGTTCAACAAACAGGAAGGCCCGATTCGTTAATCGAAGCTACGGCTGCGGGAGCTTCTTTTCTCGCCATGCCGAAGCCTGCCACTTGGACCGAGCGCGAGTTTTCAAAGGTGTTGGAGGCTGAGCAGAAGCGCATTCTGGATTTAGCGCGTGCGCAACATGACGCCTTCGAGCAGTCCTTGCATCTGTCGCATCCTGGCTTCATGAATTGCAGTGTGCTATTCTTTTGTTGGGCTTGATTGGGGCATGGATGCTTGTTGAATCGCGAGGTTTGCAAAGATCTGGAAATTCGACACCGCGAAGGGTGGTGTGCGGGTGACTGAGATGGCAAGGCAGCAGGAAGAGTACTCGGTCCAGGCTGATTTACCGCGCGCCGGACCCACCCTGGCACTCACCTGGGACACTGCCGATGAAGCGCCAAGCGCGGCAAAGTCCGATAATGCCTCTGACGCAGCTTCTGCGCCGGAACCTATTTCGCCTCCACACAGCCCCGGGTCAGGATCAACTCTTCAGCGATCGGACTCAAAATTGAAGAAGTCCAAGACAAAGAGACATGCAGAGGACTCTCCAGTCTTAGCTGTTGTTGAGGCATGAACAGTCTGTAGTGCCAGAGGTTAAAGGACAGCCTGCCGCGACTTTGGCATTGGGTGTTTCTGTTTTTCGCTTTAGGGCCTGGCTGAAGCAGCTATTTTCCTAGGGTCTGCACGCACTCCATAGCGAGGAAGGAGTTGTCTTTTTTGACATGACTTCAAGCGGTTCGGCAGTCACCGCAACCTACCCACAGCATGAACACATAAGATACCAGAGGGAATGCCAGACAAGATCTGGATGCATGCAAGAATTCTACAAGCATGTACCCATACACACCCAATTGCGCGTGGGAGCTTGTATGTATGGGTAAGAACGGATGTATCTGCTGGTATGCATATATGGGATGCCTTCTAAAGTCGCGTGTCTGTTGGTTTATTTAGATTGACATTAATGCGTCAAGGGTGCATCCTTTTTGCTCTTCGCCATGAGGCGGCACGCAACTAGAGCCGCTTATTACCGAAGGTGGCGCTAGGAAAACCGCTAGCTTCGCGCTAGGCATGCTGAGAACCGCATGATGCCGCATGCTCAAGCTGAAGCGTTAGAAGCCCTGAAAGCGCCATCGAGCGCACCCATGACCCGGGAGGGTGGTGGGGGTGTTTTGTTTTGGGAGGGCCTTGAAATCCTTTTGTTCTTCGTCGTTTTCATTTTGAGTAAACAGCGGAGTTTAGAGAAGGGAGTAGAAGAAGGAGAAGGAAGAGGTGAAACAAACGGAAAGCACAGCTTTCGGAGCATCAGAGTAGCTGAGCAGCACTCCTCGGTTACGGGATTGTTGTTGTATCCAGATTCACCGTGTCAACTATTGTCGTGATTATGCATTCAGAGTGCTTCGTATATTGTGCAGAAACCTTGTTGAGTTATAACCAACCATGTCATATAAAGTAATCGTACTACCTGCTGAGTACTGTGTTTATACATTTTGAGTATAAACCTACCATTCAGTACTTTTGAATATTCACACTTGTGCTTATAATACGTCTTGGTAGGACGATGGTTAATCACGTAACACATTTGCTTGTTTCCAATCTGTTGAGAGTGGACTGTCAGTGTTCCAAGTCAAATCTACTACAACATGCCGTGCTGCGCATTCCGTTGTTTCTTGGTCGACTTTGCTGGTTCTTTCAGGCCCAGTTAATTTCGAGATGTCTAATCTGAGTTTAGTTCATCTTAAATGCGTGCATGATACCAGTCCTGTGCATTTTATGGGTCGGACGAGTTCGAAATTTTTGCACCTACCACACGACGACCATTTGACAATGATGTATGTCAGATTTCTGGTGCGAAGCTAGTCTTTTGATTCAGGGCTTTTTATTGTAAGTACATCAAGCCACACCAAACAATGCATAAACACAACAACTCAAGCCCCCCATGCAAACACCAAGCAACATATGACACAATTGAATACCGTATATGTTTGTCTTAGGAAGTGTTTGTGTGTGTGATTAAACCAGCATGAGCATGTTCGTATAACAATAGTTTTCCTGTAAAGTTTTGAACCGTAGACATGAAGTATAGCTCTGTGCGTGATAAGCAGGAGATTCAATGATTTATACAGCGTTCGCACAGTAACGTCTTCAAGCAGAGATTATTACGTAGTTTCGTGTTGGACAAACTACTGAGTTTAATCAAGGATGCGAAGACCTTACCGGCCCATGTTGCAAACACACATCGCATGAGTACATAGATGTGCTCAATCACAAATTTCGGTAACACTATTTTGACATACGTACCTGTGGACGATGTTGGCGAGCCCAACCTTTTCAACCATTTCCAAACCTCGGGAGCCGGAGTCACAGTTTCGGTAGTCATGGAAAATCATGGAAAGCGTTGGTGTTACCATCACTTCCAAGAATTTCCATGAGCTTGGAGACACCTCGGGAGCCGGAGCCATAGTTGCGGTAATCATAGAAATTGTTGGACATGTGGGTAAACCCAACATTTTCCATGATTCCCCTCCAGACAAATCATCGAAAATGTTGGTGTTACCAACATTTCCAAGAATTGCCATGAAGTTTGAGAAACCTCGGGAGCCGGAGCCATAGTTTCTGGTCTGGAATCATAGAAATTGTTGGACATGTTGGTAAATTCCATGATTTTCCGCCAGGCGAATCGTGGAGAACGTTGGTTTTACCAACATTTCCAACGATTTCCATGAATTTTGAGAAACCTCGGGAGCCGGAGCCATAGCTTCTGGAATCACAATAAGAATTGTTGGACTTGTTGGTAAAACCAACACTTTCCATGATTCTGCACAGACAAATCATGCAAAAGGTGGGTTTTACAAAAAAGGCCAACCATTTCCATACATTTGGAGAATCCTTGGGAGCAAAAACCATAGTGAGCCCTGAGTTAAGAAACATCCAGGAAACCCTAAATTTTTAAGCCTCAGGAGCCAGAAGTATAGTAAACCCTAGGGACATCATATTAGGGACAAGGCTGCTGACTTGAACATGACACAACCTAGGTACCGAGGGGGGGGGGACCATATAAATAAAAAATAAATAAATATATAACCACACACATATACATGCATACAGATGTGTGTGTATATATATATACACGCACGTACGTACATACATACGTACATACATATGCACATGCTTAAATACACACATATACATGTATACATTTAAAAGTATACACACACACACACATATATATATATACACACATACACACATGTTTATAGATAGTGCAGCGTTGCTACTCCCCCCAAGGATGTGGCACCCGCACCCCACCCACAAGGTGGGTGGGTGGGTGGGTGGGTGGGTGGGTTGGCTCCGGTTTGGGTCAAGGATTCTGACATGCCTCCCTCACTGTTAGTGGATGTAGGCAGGTGCTTCGTGTTCTGCAGTCGGATTGCCCATCTCGACATGTTCGAAATCTACGAGAATCGAAACACTAGACTCACTAGACCACCTATCCCCATGGCTGCTTGCACAGACACATGTCACTGTCCGGCAAAGCTTTGCTTGTCAACCGTGTCCTTCCCCCGGGCACCGTTGCTTTTCCCTGTAGACGTCCAGGACCGAAGTCATCTTATCGTCCAAAAGTAGTAGGGATGTCCTCCGCGTGGCCACAACCACGCTTTGCACCTCTGCCGTCGGAAGATGCCCCCTTGCCTTTTGACAAGCCCGAAACCTGCATTTGAGCGTGACACACGCGCATGTGCCGGTTTAGTCGCACGTCTATTCGCAAAGGCATTCGTTTGTTTGTTCGTGCTTCTTTCGTGTTTCTACAGGTTTCTGCGTGCCTTTGCGTGTGTGGGTGCGTGTGTGTGTGTGTGTGTGGGTTGTGCGCGTTTGTCTGTCGATCTGTCTGCTTACCCGCTTGGTGCCTGTCTGTCTGAATGTTGGTCTGTCTGCCTGTCCGTCCGTCCGTCTGTTTGCCTGCATGCCTTCATCGGCCTCGAAAAATGTGATAGATAACCATGCCCTTATGCATTGTCTTGATATTCAGTCATGCCTGATGCAATGTAAGGCACTGTAAGGCACTGTAATGCAATTAATGCAATGATGAAATGTACTGCAATGTAATGAAATGAAATGAAATGTACTAAAGTGTAATGCAGTGTAACGAAATATAGAATGCAATGCAGTGTACTACAATGTACTGCAATTCTAATGTAATTGTAATGTAATGTAATTTCAATTTAATGCAATTTAATGCAATTTAATGGAATTTAATGGAATGGAATGGAATGTACTGGAATGTACTGGAATGTCATGCAATGCAGTGTCACGCAATCTATCACAGTGTAACGCAATGCGATGCATGTATTGTCGTGTCCCTTCAGTCAATGCAAAGCAATGCAATGTAGTGTGGTTTAATGCGATGTAATGCAAAGTAATGCAATGTAGATTCCAAAACATGAGTGTCTTAAATAAATTTTCAGCGCATGCTGTCGAGAGGGTGTGGAGAAGGGGGTGGGGGTGTGCGTGCCGAACAGTATGCAACCCGGGTCCAATTGGATGCCTTCCTTGAACATTTGAGTGGCGGGCTATCAAATGGTGGTGTTTGGTTCAGGGTTTAGGGCTTCTGGCCCCCATGACCCGCCCACGAAGACACCCCCGATCAAAAAAAGGCAGTGTAATGTAATGTAATGCAGTGTCATGCAATGTAAGCCAACGTATTGCAATGTAAGGCAATGCAGTGCAATGTAATGTAACATGACATAATGTAACATATTTAGGGTAATGGTGAGGTAAGTTAATGTAATGTTATGTAATGCAGCGCAACATCATGTTGTGTTGTTTTTTGTTGACGGGCGTGTGGGTGTGCTGTTTCGTGTTGTTTGATGCTGTGCTGCGCTGTCCTGTGCTGGCTGGGCTGTGTTGTGTCGTGTCGTGTTGTGTCGCGTAGTGTCGTGTTGTGTTTTTTGTTATCCTACACTATGTTGTGTCATGCCACACCATGCCGTTGCATGTCATGCAAGGTGATGTTATGTAAGTTTCTCTTATGATATGTCGTGTTCTGTTATGTTCCAGTTATGGTATGTTTGGTGTGCAAAATATGGATGAACGTGTTGCAAAGAATGCGTGTCAATGTATGTGTGTGCCAACATAAGTGCGTATCTCTTCGGAACTCGGGAAGTTTCGATCTTAGAACACATCGTCAGTGGTGTAAGGTACTGTAAGCATACTGCACAGCATCCAGCGTCTCTTTCATTGTGATACTGAGTAGGAGCTTCTGGGACTGCAGACGTTGGTCAGCCACACGAAGGAGTACATCGATTTCGTAGCTGGCGTTCTGGTCCTCTTGAATTCCTGCGTTATGTTGGTTGCTTTGGCGCAGTCAAAATCAGGGTGGGACAGGCTCAGTTCCATCTCGACTCAGGCACGTGTGACTCGAGTTTTTCCGCTGCTCTGGTGCAATCCGATCAACAAGATGCTGAGGCTGAGCTGGAAGCCGAAGGACTCGCCTACGGAGCACAGCTTGGCCTTGGCAGAGGCTACGGTAAGTGTCCTTGCCCATGTGGGATGTACACGAACCTCCGAGGATCCAAGCCCCTCACCCTCAAACTGAAATTATCACAAACTTGGGGCTGTTGAGTCGATCAGTCTAGAGTCGACTAGAGGCTAGAAGCGGTTTACTTTTGTGGGCCCGGAGCTGTGAAGCCGTGTCTTGTGCTGGCCATGGTCGGAGATGCGCTTCTCCAGGCCCCTCCCTGGAGGAGGTGCAGCCCATATTCCAGTCTCTAGATGCTCGGACGTGGTTTGCACAATGTGTCGGTACTTCTTGTGAAGGTAAGTTTTTGTGAATCTGAGTGGTATGGTTAATGCTGCCAGGACACAGCCTTTGTTTTCATCTTCCTGATCGAGCTGCTGTTCCGTGTGGCTATTGAGCGATGGGACTTCTTGCGAGATCCGGCGAACTGGTTCGATGCTGCTTTGGTCCTCCTGGGCCTGGCAGACTTACTAATTTTTGTGCAGCTGGCAGGACTGACTTCATTCATTGCCTTGGCGACTTGTGGATGGCCAATGTCTTTGCACATTTTGCCATTCAGATAGTTCAGTCTGAGGCTTGCGAGTTGGTTAGGAGTCTATGTGTTGAAACATGCAGAAGGATGCGTGCAGCATCTTTGCAGGAGGCTCTGATGCGCAGAACATCATCTTGCTTCGTTTGGTCCGAGTCCTTAAGTCGGTCCGGGCCATCCGGATGCTGCGGACTTTCCGCTTCCTCAAAGGCTTGCGATTCTTGGTGAAGGCATGCCAGTGCTTCCTGCCGTCTCTAGCCTGGTCGATGCTTCTGCTCTTCGTCTTCATGTGCATGGGCACGCTCGTGCTCGGCAACTTGCTTCGAGATTTCATCGTCGATGAGACAGCCAACATGAACGACCGTTTGTGGGTTTGGGATCGATATGGGACTGCCTCCCGGGCCATGTACACGTTCTACGAGATACTTGGCGAAGAGTACGTTCAACCTGTCGCAAATTGATGCAGCACGCACCGTGCTTGAAAGCAGCAGAAGGGCAGCTGACTGAACTGTCTGGGATGCGGTGAAAGGGCTTGTCAATGTTTGTTGGCATTGCATCAGTCTTGTTGCAGGACTTCTGATGCAACTCCGTTTGGCGAACCATTTCTGCCTAGCGGCCTAGCCTGTGTGGAAGCATTGACACCAGCTCTTAAAGCAACGTGCACCTCTGCGCACGTGTTTTGTAGAACACTCCATTGGGCAACCACCACCACCACCACCACCACCCCCACCACCACCACCCCCACCCCCACCCCCACCACCACCACCACACCACCACCACCACCACGGCTACGGCTACGGCTATGGCCACGGCCGCGACCGCAACTGCGACTTCGACTACGACTACGACTGCTACAATGCTACAACAAGTGCTACTACGGCTACTGCTGCTGCTGCTGCTGCTGCTGCTGCTGCTGCTAACTGCTGCCACTGCCACTGCCGCTACTGCTGCTACTGCTGCTACTGCTGCTACTGCTGCTCACTGCCACTGCCAGTAGCACTGGCGCTGCCACTCGCTCGCACTGCCACTACCACTAGCACTATCAGTACCACTACGGCTACCACTACAACCACCGCCACCGTCACCACTACTACTAGTGCTCCTGCTGCTCCTCCGCCTCCTCCTCCTCCTCCTACTGCTACTGCTGCTACTATTACTGGTACTCCTACTCATAGCACTACTGCTTTTTCTTCTTCTACTACTACTACTGCTACTACTACTACTACTACTAAGTTTGCCACAGCAGGGGCAAAACCAAAGCAGACCTGGTGGTGTTCACGGCAGCCCCTAAAGCGGTCTCAGTGATGTTGGCCATGGCCGCCTGTCGGGTTTAAAAGCAGAGGAGGCACTAAGGTCTGCACTCGCTGAGAGGTTGCCCCCGCCACCTCTGCAGACCTTCTTGCAGCCGCTCTGAGTCTGCTATGCCTTCGAAAGCAATCCGATCATCCCAAGAGCCCCCAACCCCCACATGCAAAACCCAGGCCTTCACATCGTCAGCCATGCCTCGGTCGTGAGACATTGAAAAAGTCCCAAACGACGGCCTGTCAACTTGAAGCGAAAGCCAAGGAGCCTTGCAGCGCCTGGATCTGGGTGCTACGCACAGCCTGCATCGTTAAATTGCAACACACCCACGCAAGGTTTCAGACTTCGGCGTGTTCCGAGATCTCGGCTCCGAAATTTCCAAAAGATCAACCGTCGCTCGTCACTCGCTGCTTTTCTGCCGCGCTGATGGCATCTTCGGCCCAGCAATCAGCGGTGGCGGGACAGGTCGGTAGTGCGCCTGCGTATGTCATGGAACATGTGTTGAGTGGGTTCATGACGATGAAAGACACATCTGTTTTTAGTCGCTTGCTGGGCACCTCGTCTGGTGCTTTCAGCAGCGGGGTGCAGCAAAGGCTCTGCGGGAGCATCCTTGCGAAAACAAGCACTTGCC